GTGTTTCAGGAGGAGACCGGTCTCAGCTGTGTCTCTGTCCCTCAGTGTTTCAGGAGGAGTCCGGTCCCAGCTGTGTCTCTGGGTCTCTCAGACAGACAGCGGGCGAAGGCTCAGACAGTCCCTCTTATACGAGCGATCTGACTCTGCGCGTGTGGACGCGGGTGTGAGCGTGGTGTGGCGGACCAAGCCGTGTCCAGACGCCCCGCTCTGCTGACTCCTGCACACCCGATCCCTCAGCTCCTCTCTCACTCTCATCCCTGAGCACCGACTGCACAAAGAGCAACTTAACCCCGTGAGGGAGAGGAGGAGCTCACAGGGGGAACACGGGTGCGATGAGGCTGCTACCCCTCAGGACAAACGGCCCTGTGAGGACAAGCTCCTGGACTGGACAGGAAGACGTGGGCTTCTGTCAGAGCAGAGTTAATAACCTGTAGGGTCACGTGTCATAGACTGACAGAGATCAGCAATACACCTGAGTCAGTGTGTCTGTATGAACCCCTCTCTCTCAGTGCAGTGTTAATGTACTGGAGTGTCCAGTCAGTCAGTCTGTCTGTATGAACCCCTCTCTCTCAGTGCAGTGTTAATGTACTGGAGTGTCCAGTCAGTCAGTGTGTCTGTATGCCCAGACCGGACTCCTCCACGGCCAGGCAGAGGGAGGCGGGAGCGTTCCACCGCGGGTAGGCGGGGGTGTCCTGGAACCCGAGCACGTCCTGCAGGGCCATGACCTGAGAGGAGACACGGGTCACTCCCATCAGCGCTCTGCCCTCTCTCTCCTCTCTCTCTCCTCTCTCCTTCTTCTCTCTCTCCTGTCTCTCCTCCCTCCTTCTTCTCCCTCTCCCTCTCCTCTCTCCTTCTTCTCTCTCTCCTCTCTCTCTCCCTCTCCTCTCTCTCTCCTCTCTCTCTTCTCTCTGTCCTCTCTCTGTACCCCTCTCTCTCTGTACCTCTGTGTTTCAGGAAGTGACCAGTCTCTGGTCCAGTCTCTGAGCAGTGGACACACTGACCTCCAGCTCACCTGTGTCTCTGTCCCTCTGTGTTTCAGGAGG